GACGTCTTTGTGCCCAAGTCCCTGCTTGGGAGTGAGCTGTCACCACTCTGGGGCTACAGCCTGAGAGGAGCCTGTGAGCACCCGGTCACCCCTGGTCTCGGGGCAAGAAGAGGGGAACGTGCTGGAGGCAGATCCGTGAGATGCACCTCCACCCCCGACACCCCCTGCCCTCCTCGCGGTAACCGGACAATTTCAGCAGGAGAGTTACCTCTTCAGTGATCAGACCTGGGGGAATAAAGGAATAGGAAAGGAGGAGATTTTGCTTAGCTACCTGTCCTCTATCTGTCTCTCTGAATTTCTATTTTGCCTATTTCGTACGTGTGGAATGTATGCTCTCTGTCAAAAATACAGCCATCATCTAGGATTCCAAAAAAGGATGTTCAGCTTGTTCCTCGTGTTGTGTATCCTCAAGTCACACTTAGAATATCTTGGTTATGTTTTCCATTTGGTGGGAACTGGGATCAGTACCAAAAGTTGAATCTAGGGTTAATTTCAGTGGAAGTTGAGAACTGTAACACGCCCTTGGCGCTTGTGTCCTGCTGAACATCCTTCCTCCAGGGCAATATTGGAACTTCCAAAATTCCCGCAGGTCTCCTCTTCCCTTTATGAAGGATTCTGAGTTGATCTATGAATAGGGCACTGGTGATCACTTTGAAGCTGTGGGTGGTCACTTCTTCTGGTTCTATCCTTGGACAGAATATTACATGGACACTGGAGAGTGGGTACCGGCTGCAAAGCACCCTTACTTGGATGCGTGTGGTTAAAATACGAACTGTCGGATCACACATAAAAATCCTGTTTCATTCACTGAAGGGCGACCTACAGTGTTGTTCCTTCTTCCTCTTAAAACAGTGACATGTCTTTGTTTTCTGACCAGGAATTTCAGTCTTTTGACCTGATGCTTTTACTGTTTTTTCACCAGAAGTTTGAGAGAACTTGGCTTGACTCAATATTAAGTATAGCAGGTTTAAGTGTAATTCTCCAGTTTGAATTGAGACCTCTCGGAGATGCGGAATATGATGGGAGTGGAGAGAGAAGAAAGAAATGGCCTCTGGCCCAGGGATGGGTGTCTAGGGGCAGGGCTTTGGGCAGCCTAGCTCAGTGAGTGAGAAGCTGCATTCCACAGCCAGCCAGCTCCGGACGTGTAGCGAAGCTGCTTGCATTAAGTTGCCACCTATCACTTGCACGTTGTTAAATTTTTCTTTGCCTATCCCAAGGTGGTTATGAGAAATGAGTCAATGTGTGTGGGAGCCAGCAGGGATCAAATGCCTTATAAATGTTTGTTAAGTAGACAAAATAGAAATAGCTTTTTCCAGTATTGCCTAAACAGAAACTCCACCTGTTGTGAATCCTCCTATAAATTAAAAAAAAAATAAGAAGAAGAAAGAAAGAAAGAAAAAGGTAATGGAAAGGTTCACTCCCCAATTTTCCTTTTCACATTTAAAACTTTCTATATCAGGCTTTCTAAAAGGAAGGCACCGCTACACTCTACTAGGAGATGCACTTATATGGGATTTTTTTTTAAACTCAAGATCTATCATGGATTTATTTTGCAGCCTTACTCAATCACCTAATCTATTAGAAGGGAGCTTAAATTAAAGATTCTCCACATTATCTATTGCCAGAGATTTACAAAATGAATGACTTGTGTTTTAAAAACATTCTTGTGTTTTTCAGTGTGCTCCTGAGAGAAAAACCTGGGAAACTAAAGGGAGATTAAAATTTGTGTTAAGCAGCAGGAAATAAAAAATCATCTAAAGGCTGTAAAATATGGTGACAAATTCAGGAATAATTGAGAGTTTGTGTGATTTCTCCCCTCATTATCAGTGTTTTCTGGAATTTCATGGCGAACTGGCCCAGAAATACAAAAGCCAGTCTTTAAAAGTTGAAAGATGCATTGTTTTGTTTTCTAATTGTAAGTGATACAGGCTTGGTTTCTAAAGCTTGTAAAAGTCAGAAAGGCACGCAGAGATTATTTTTCCTCTAAACTTTCTTAACTTTTGTCTATGGAACAAACTTTAACAGGTCACTGAAAATTTGCTTTTTTCTTCAACAAACGTGATAGCTGATAAATTATAAGAGCACACAGGCTGCTGAGTAAGTATGAAAGAGGCTACTTCCTTTATTTAGTTGCCACATACCACAGGCACGTTACTAAACCTCTGTACCCACCCTGCGATGCAGCACAATGATTCTGTGCTAAATTCCAGGCTCTTGTCTAAGGGTTACACAAATATTGACTCATTTAGTTGTCCAAACATCCCTACGAAATTACTTACCATTGCTATCTTTGTGGTACGTTAAGGTCAGAAATAAGGAAACTGAGGTGCAGAAAGGTTAAGAAGCTTCCCTAAGGTCAGCAGATACTGTGCCTGGGACCCAAACCCAGAGAGAATGGCTTTTAACGATTGTACTATGATAACAGTCTCAGTGATGTATCATTAGAATTTCCAGAGAGGAGTCATTTTTAAAAATTTGTTTGCTGTTCCTCTAGTTGAATGTTTCAAATTTACTTATTCTAAAATGCAAACACAATGGTCATATACCTCCATAGTTTTGTTTCACTAACAGCATAACTCTCTCCTGTGGCATTGATATAATTTGTTATACTTTCTTGAAGTAGTCAATTCTGAAAAATAGTAACTTTATCATAGAGAAATTTGGCAAACATTCCCTTAGCCAAATGATGATAATGAAGGTTAATATCATCAACGTGATGTCCGGTGGATATCATGTACCCCCAATGGGATGTGATGAGAAGGTCACTTCACCTCCTTGGTATTCTTTCCAGAAGCTCATATCCCTAGTCCAACCATGAGAAAAATATTCTTCAAACCTAAACTGAGGAATATTAAATAGTTAACACTCCAAAATTGTCAAGATCATGAAAACCGGGAAAGACCAAGCAACTGTCACAGTCCAAAGAAAAGTATGGAGACATGACAACTGCAATGTGGTACCTGGATTGGACCCTGGAATAGAAGGAGAACAGTAAATGGAAAAACTGGTGAAGTTCAAACTGGAGTTTCCTAAACAGTAGACGTGCCAATGTTGTTTTCTTAGCTTTGGCCAATGTACCGTAGTAATGTAAAACAGTCACAATAAGAGAAATTGAGCGAAGCACACATATGAATTGTAATATCTTTGCAACTTTTGTACTTTAAAATTATTTCAAAATTTAAAAAAAAAAAAGCTGTTTTTAGGCAGTTTCTCTTTCTAAAGCAATTTAGAATACCACCAAAAGGAAATCAGTGGACATGACTGCTTTATCTGGTAGCTTCCTAGAAGGGGAATTAAATTTTTGTTGACTTCATATTTGATGAAATATGAAAATCCAACATATCTGCTGCCCAGTTTTGGACACTTCATCATTTTTCATAGACCTAAGTAGTTTGTCTTCACCATTAATCACGCTGTCCAAATTGCTCATCTATTGCTTGTAACTGATGAATAGCAGAAAGTGTTTGCTTTAATGGCCTCCAGACCCAACCCAAAACTGACGTAAATGAAAGTATTCAGGGAGAGAAGAACTCCAATTTATCTACAAGAGCTGCCAAAAAATAAATAAATAAATAAATAATTAAGAAGTTAAGAAGTAGCCAACATTTGTAGATTGTATAGAATTTGACTCCTGAGGATGACAATCAAAATCACTTGTTCTTGGAAATGAAGTAAAAATCCAAGGTTTCTTTTTTTGCTGTTATTTTCTCCATCATATGCCTCTTGAAATTCATGAGATCCTCATCAACCAAAATACAGAAGTTTTATAAACAAAGGAATGTTTAGTCTAGTATGATAAACAAATTCACTCTCTTGTCTGAGCAAGTGCTTCTTTAAGCCAATTACTTTTGCAAAAGTTGAAGTCCAGGTTTTTAAGCACACTCTTTAAACTCATGCAAGCAATGATCCTTAAAGTAATGGAATAATCTTTAAAAATGGAAGCTTTGGTGATGAAATTCCATTTTCCCTGCAATCATTACTCAGAATTGACAGTAAAATCTAGGATGCTCACATCTTGTAGACCCACCGTTTCACCCCAGTCCTTGCTGTAGCAACCAGCTGCATGCAGCTG